ATTCACACTCGCTTGGTAATAACGTTCTTATCCCACACGTAACAAATAAGTGTCGCCATCCAGTCTAAAAATAAGGTGCTAAAAATTTTAGACATCAGACCTTCAGTTTTCTTATCGTGTATAAAAAACCACATAATTTTCATCGATATTTAAATTTGACAAAACGTGTTTCAGTACAAAGTTGTCGATCAAAAACGACGTTAATTTTTAATTCTGTTGGTTTTTTCAACTATTCAGGTGTGCGAAAATCAAATTAAAATCAATCGCATTTTTAAAAATAGACATTTCGTAACAATGGACGCGAATCAATAAAATTGAATCGACGTCCAACAATCAACAATTTTGTCGTTTTATTTTTTTCTGGACAAAAGATCGCAATAACAAAGTTGTGATGCATACATTAAACTTGCATTTAATTAAACCTCGAATGCACTATGAAATTTAATATAACAATGTTTCGCAACAAAACAACACTTTCTCGGAGTTTGACATTCCTGCTGAACACAGCGGTCGACGTATTTCCACTACCACGAACGCGACAAATTAATTAGCTCTCCAAGTCTGGAAACCCCAATTAAAAATAAATTGCAGAGTGCGCCACCAAAACTTCATGTCACCCTCAAAAATCCAGATTCTGGACACACAAACACGTACGTACACGTGTATGTGTAATTTCATTATGTCCAAGCTGAGCACAGCCAGACAACACATGCAAAAACATGAAATGAGCTTTTCACTGTCCGCGCCAGTCTCGCTTGTTTCAAATAGTTGGGCTTTCGAGCTTTTTACAAGTGTGACGAGGGTCGCTGGATGTAATAGCGGCATTTTTACAACTTCTACAGGTTTCATTATTGATGACAGCATAATTTTCGGTTGATATTCGCCGAATGAATGGCGGTGCGAGTGGGCAATCAGTCCTGCGGAACCTATTCCCGATTTTTGGGTCAAAAGTTGTCAAGAATTGCAATTTATCATCGCGTAGTTCCAGAATTACACCTGCTTTATTGCTTACGTGACAATCCATAATGAACTCATTTATATGTCGATGAAATTTCAAATTAAAGGTAATAATCCGAGGAAAAGACGGGCACGAATCGATGGGCTCGAAACACTTCAACGAGCTACAGTTTTAACGCCGGGACAAAAGATGGGGATCGTTAAATGAGGAAAACTTGAATTTCGTTAATTGTGGAGTAAAGTGTGCGTTATGAAACACTGTGAAGATGGATTTACGCAATCTTTGTAATATTGTATCTACTTTTGTGTCAAAAGGAACGGATTAAATTTCTAAGCAATAATCTAATAATAATCTAATTTTCACGAAGTTTTGATTTCAGTAATTATTTTCAAGAAAAAAAAAATAGACCAAAGCTATTTTGACAGAACTTTCTTCACCCTTGAGAGCAGTCCAACAAATCCTGCTTCTTTCAAAAATTATAAAATTAGATTTTTCGAAATTTTGATTTTTATGGTTGAAGGTTGTTTGACACAAGTTCCTTTGCCTCTGAACAGCCCAACAAATACTGCTCCTTTGAAAAATAATTAAACTTTTTTGACATTTTTTTATGATAACCTATAAGTTAAAACCAGTGCCGTAAATAACACCCCCACAGCTTTTTGATTTGATTTTTTCAGTCCTCCAATTTTTTATTTTTGTATTTCTTCAATTTTTTGACTTTTCTTTTTTTTTTATTTTTTCTGTTTCGCAATTGTCCAGTTTTTCAATTTTTCGATTTAAAATTTCTCGAGTTAATAATTTTTAATTTTTCAATTTAGCGATTCTTTAATTTTTCATTCCTTCAAACTTTCGATTTGCAATTTTTCGTTTTGGTTTTTTATTTTCTTTATTTTTTTTACAATTTTTTGATTTTTCAATGTTCCGATTTTATAATTTTTTGTTTTTTCGATTTAACTTTTTCAATTTTTCGTTTTTTCAATTCTTCGATTTGCAATTTTTCTATTTTTCATTTTTTTTATTTCTTCCAATTTGAGTTTTTATTTTGAAAATTTTCAGGTTTTCGATTTTCTAAATTTTAGATGCAATTCCTTATTTTTCAGTTTTTCAATTTTCAAATTTTTAAATTTTGCAATTTTTCAATTTAAATTTTTATTTTTTTAATTTTCCATTTCTTCAATTTTTCTGTTTTTCCGTGTTCTGGTTTTATAATTTGTCTTATTTTCAATGTGAAAATTTTCAATTTTTATATTTATATATTTTTCGGTTTTAAAATTTTAGATTTTTTTAAAATTTTGTTTTATCAATTTTAGATTTTTCAATTCTCGATTTTTCAATTTTTCTGTTTTTCAATTCATGAATTGCAACTTTTCTTTCTATCTTACGGTTCTATAATTTTTCGATTTTACAATTGTTGAGTTTGCAATTATTCTTCGATTTTTAGTTTTTAATGATTCAGTTTTTCATTTCTTCAGTTGTTCGATTTGGAATTTTTCGATTTTCCACTTCTTCTATTTTGAAATTTCTTGTTTTTTCAGTGTTTCAATTTTACAATTTTTGAATTTTTCATTTCTTCAAATTTTCGATTTGCAATTTTTCGTTACGGTTTCTTATTTTCTTTAGTTTTACAATTTTTCGATTGTTCAATGTTTTGATTTGATTAATTTTTTGTTTTTTCGATTTCAAATGTTACAATTTTTCGTTTCATCAATTCTTTGATTTGTAATATTTCGATTTTTCATTTTTGTTTCTTTCTTCCAATTTTACGATATGTAACTCTTCGAGTTTGCATTTTGAAACTTTTCAGTTTTTCGATTTTCCGACTTCTGGATGTTTCGATTTTTAGATTTTGCAATTTTTCAATTCGCAAATTCACCAGTTTCAATTTTTAATTTTTTAATTTTTCATTTCTTCAATTTTTCTGATTTTCAATGTTCTGATTTTATAATTTTTCGTTTTTTTCCATGTGAAATTTTTCAACTTTTAGATTTTTTTTTGTTTTTCAGTTTTTGGTTTTTGCAATTCTCTTTTTTCAATGTTTCTTTTTTGCAATTTTTGAATTGCAGCTTTTCTAGTTTTCATTTTGGATCTAATCTAATAATAATTATATATTTTTTTAACTTTTATAATTTTTCGAATTTACAATTCTGGCAAGTCTGTAATTTTTCGATTTTATAATTGCTGGATTTACTAATTTTTCGATTTTACAATTTCTTGTTTTCTCAAATTTTCAATTTTCCAATTTTTTCGATTTTTTAATTTTTCGATTCTTCAAATTTTTGCATTTTTCAACTTTTCGAATCAAAAAATGGAAACATTTCAAAATTGTAAAATTGAAAAATTAAAAATGAAAAAACAAAAAAGCATAAAATCAAAACTTTGAAATATCTAAAAACTGGAAATCAAGAACTTGAAAAATTGAAGAAATGAAAAATTGAAAAATCGTATAAAAATTGAGTAACGAAAATCGAAAAAGTGCAAAATCGAAAAACGAATATTGTAAACTCAAAATATTGAAAATTAAAGAAATTGGAAAATCGGATAACTGCGAAATGCATAAACTGCAAAATTCAAATATTTAAAAATTGGAAAATCGAGGAACTGAAAAATTGAAAATTTGAAAATTTGAGCACACGAAATTGAACACTGAAAAAATAAGGATGTGAAAAAATGAAAAATTGTGATATAAAATCGAGAAAATGAAAAGTAAAAAAATTTCGCAGTCCAGAATTTGAAAAATTTTAAAATCATGCTCGAAAAAATTCTAAAATCTAAGAAATAGAAAAAGGAAAAACTGTGATCAAAAAATTGGTCGAAGGGAAATAAATTCAGAATTTTTTAACAAATATAAAATTTGATTTTTCTAATTTTATTTTTTTATGATAACTTAAATTTATAAGTTATCATAAAAAACAATATTTATAACAATACATAAGTATATGTATGTAATGTTTCTTTTACAAGATTTTATGATGACGTCATCAACAGTTTTACATTGGCTCTTGTATCAGATGAAGTGTAATACTAATAATAATAGTATATTCTGATTTAATCAATAAAATAAATTGTACAGATAGACTCACCATATTGTGTAGATTTTCGATAGATTATTCAGCAAAATTTTGAGATGACGTCAACAGTTTTTTGAGGGGATATATAAACAGATATATTTTGATTAAAAATTTACCATGCTTACGATAACTTTAAAACGTCTGCAAGATTTCGAAGCATTCGGTGTTGCACTTTCTGGTTTAAGCAATAAAACAAACCGACTCATTTTTTTATTTTTTTTTATTCATTCTGTATTAAGCAATTCCAAAAAAATAAGAGTGAAATGATAAATCACAATAATTGTACACATTTTAGATTTATTCGGGACGATTTTGAGATGTCATCAGTTTTTTTGGGGGGAGAGGGGATAAACAAATATATTTTCGTGAAAAATTTACCACTCTTAATCTTGGGCCAAAAATCAAGACAGATTTAAAAAATTACACGATTATGTCATACAATTTAAAAGCCATTTACTGTGTCCTGTTTTGAAGTGACGTCATTATACCTATTGTTGGTTTTGTTACTTACGCAAACAATCATGATTTAGTTAAGGAAATAAAAAAAATTAGATAATTAAAAAAATTGTGGCTTAAAATAAAAAAATAAGATGGCTTAAAATAATAAGTACTTTTAAATATAAAGTGCTTCACAGGTCAACATCCTGATGTTAATACCAGCAAAAGCTGAAACTGTCGTAAATTTTCAGTCAAGTGTAGCCCCCAGTAATCTGTTCTAAAATCACGGAGATTTTTGTTTTGTCGTAAAATTAATTCTTGTAAAGTATCATACAAAATTACGGTTTAAAATTACCATCCCTGGGATCACCATGGGCGTCTAAATTAGATACACAAAGGCTGTTAATTTTAAACAAAAAGTCATAGTCTCTAATAAGATCGTCCCTGGAAATCCAGATTGACTGCAGCCGTTTGAAACCGAGGTAGTAAATCGCGAGCAAATTAGTTTCATTAGCTGAATAAAACATTAAGCTTACCGTGCAGAGCTTTGAGGTAAGCTTTTCCAGCGTTGATCATTTGCCGCGCTCCTGGATTAAACTTATCCAGGATATTCTGAAACAAAATAACAACATTAGTTTTCACGGCAAACATCAAGAGCATGTTAGAACAAGTTTTACATGTCGCCGATTTAAACCACATCCAAAACAAGGCAACTGTCATTAAAGCGCAGTCAAAGGCTCTTAAAACTTTAGAAAATCCTCGAGTATTACAACCGATATGGTTTCGTAGGGCAAACATCAATATTGTTCGGTAAAGTTTTCCCGTATTTTAAGTAGTTAGGAGTTAGCAGACAACATGTCCGCCTTATTGCAGTGCGTCGCCGTTAGGGGAGCTTTTCCCAATAAAAAGCTCACTATACCGTTTCCTTCCCGGAACCCTTAATGTAAATCCTTATAAATTGGGTAATTTAGTCCGTAAGTAATTAAAATATAAAAACCTCCGCCTTAATGCCAGGAATTTGTAATTGAGATGAGTTTTTGGGATACTTTTAAGCTTTTTATCCGGATAATTTGGCAAGTGCCGAATGCACTTTAAGCAAAGCGAGTGGAAGCATTTGCATAGAAACTTTCGCTAAAAAACCCAAAGTCACGCCAAAGAAGACAGTTTTAATCGAGTCGGGCGACGAATCGGCACAAAGCCAAATCGCAGCTTTATAATAACAGCGCTACTGCATACAAGCTAATAAAACAAACGGGATCAAATACACAGCTTTCATTAAAGCTTCTTTCTCATAAATATTTAAAACACTGTGCGAAGGCATGCTACGTGCTATTTAATAACACGCCAAAAGTGCGGTTAAATGCAAATATCGCCAAAACAGGAAGGAAAACTGCGATTGGCTTGCACCGCATAAATGGAAAGCTCTGAAGCCGCAAAGGGGATGTTTTATTAATATATTCGAATTAATTTTGGCATTTTAGAGAAAGTATGAGATTGTGCCGTGAAAACAAATAAACTCGATATAGACGGTGGATGTAGATGGATTTTCTCTCTCTCGGTTGCTTAATATGCAAGGTTTGTTCTCTTGATACTGGTAGAACTACGTTTTTAATGCAACTTGAGAATGTACAAGTAGTTGTGCAGAATTCGAAAACGTTTTAAACGGTTTAAAAACAAAAGTGAGAAACTAATAAATATACAAGATTAGTACATACACGAACTATATCAACTATATTGTGGAGTAATTACTTTTAACTAACTGTCTTCTTCCGCTTCTAAAATTAATTCACTGTTTCTGATTATTATTATAAGTGGAAATTTTTAAATAAGCAACATTTTCCTACGTAGCAGGTAAATGAATTATTCTGGTCAAGCAAAGTTGTTATATAAACATATTGTAATAAGTCCACGGTAAGTATTACAGTATGCAGATTTTGAACATACATATTTTCAAATTTCTTCCAACACGTCAGAATTTTGCAAAATTCAATATCAAAGGAATTTGATATCGTCATCTCAAAATTTTGCGTGGAAAAACTATGTAAATTTTATGAAATAATCTACTCCTGTATTTGTTGTTTGTGAATCCGCCTTAAGATTCAGATTTCCCCAAAAAAAATTCAAACTGTACATGGTGATTCAGAGTGCTACTGAATAATTGTAGTAGCGAATTACATCGCAAAAAATAAGTAAATAATGTTAATGAAAGTGTAGTTATCAGGGAAAATTTATAAAAAAATTTAAAAAATTTGGAAAATGGGTGAAATTTTCGGAGAAATGAGCAGCAAATAACTGGTACTCAAAATCTATAAAAAAATTCCTTTAGTCAAGTTTTGAAGGTGATCCAAAAATAGTCGCAGATTTCATAAGTAATATTGTATTGAAAAAATTGAGCTTTTGTAAACGTTGTCTAAAAATCTTCAAACAATTCTGGAATATAAATATCGACGAGTTCATTCGAAAAACAAAGCATGTTTATGGTCCCAAACTCAGGTTTTCGAAATATTGTGTTTGAAAATCAATTTTTTTTTAAATCTCGGCAGTTGTCATTTTTCGTATAAGCGATTCTGGAAAAACGGTAGAAGTTCTTGAAGAAAAGCTGAAAGGAACTTTTGGAGGTCGCAATCTACAAAAACAATACCTCTAGCCAACTGTGGAAGATAATCGAAAAATGGTCAAAAATTTCACAAAAAATTATTCCATACAAAAATAATTGTTTTCCAAAATTGCCAAAAATACACAAAAAATTATGGGATATAAATCTCCACGAGCTAGAGCAAAAAAACGTTGGGGGTCCCAAAGCAAGATTTTCAAATTTTTCGGTTTTAAAATCAAATTTTTAAAATATACCAAAAATGTTACCCAAAATGACGCCTGCAATTCGAAATCAACACAAAACTGTTTGTTGGCAATTTTTAAAAGTGCTCCGAAAAAATGAAAAATTTCAATAGGGGAAGGTATTGAAAATTTACGGGTTTTTAAAAGTTGTCTAAAAACATCCACAAAAAATTCTGAAGTATAAATATATAACGACAAGCTGTTAATTGATCCAGAACTAGATTTTGGAAATTTTCGGTTCCAGAACTAAATTTTCAGAATGTCCCAAAAGTTGCCATATTTCATCCTTGTGATTCTAGAAAAATCGTCGAAATTTTCGAGGAAATGAAGCCGAAAATGACATTGGGTAATTTTCAAAAATGCTGGAAACACGGTAAAAAATTCAAAAATGGGAGATCTTGAAAATTTTAGCCTTTTGCAAAGTTGTCAAAAATTACAAAAAATTCTGGAATATAAATCTCGATAAATTCGAAAAACAGCCTATTTATTGATGGTCCAGACTAATCTTTTCGAAAATTTCGAAATTTTTCAAATATATACCAATTCAATTTGGCGATTTTGGAAAAGTGGTCCGAATTTTCGAAGAAATGTTGCCAAAATGATTTCTCCAAGTCGAAATCAACAAAAAAATGTTTTTGACAAAGTTGCCCAAAAAAACACAAAAAAATCTGGTATATAATTCTCAGTAAACTATTTCGAAGAAAATTGAAAATGTACCCTAGCGATTTTGGAAATTTTCGGTCTCAGAACCAAATTTTTAAAATATCCCATAATTTCATCCTGGTCACTCTAGTAAAGTGATTGGAAAATGATTTTTACAAATCGAAATCATAAATAAATTTATTTGGGTAATTTTCGAAAGTAGTCAGACACAATTAAAAATTTGTAAGGAAGGACTAATAAAAAATTGAACTTATGAAAAAGTTGTCTGAAAATCTAAAAAAAAAAATTGAATATACTCGTAGATATTGAAGAGCTGATTCGAAGGACATATTCTGTTGATGGACCCACACCAAAATTTTCGATTTTTTTGAAATTTGTTGATAGTTGAACGTTTGTTTTGGGGGGAATTTTAGAAGTAAAATAAAATTAACTAAAAACATCTTAACCAAAAATGTTTTTGACGAAATGACTATTGCGTGGAAGATTTTATCATAAAATCTAATTGAGGAAAACGTAAAAGTTATAAAAAGGATTTCACACATACTATTTTTGCATCACGTGGAAATTGTATTAGTGAAAAATCTTATTTGTAATTTGACAAATCTTTACACTTGTGGACTTCCGAGGAGTTAATGCCATTGACTCATGGGATTTTAATACATTTTCAAAGTGTAATATCTCCGTTATTAAGAAATTTATTCTTATGAAATTTTAAATATAACATGTCCAAATTTTCTTTATATAATGCAACAGTAGTTTCTTTTTTGAGTTAATCTTCTTTTTAAAATTTTGGTGTAATTTTTCATCACGTGTTTTATTTTAAAAATCAATGTCTCAATTATTAATGGAAACTTTGGAACATGGCCTTTACCACTGTTTCTTGTTTGCAAAATACTACAAACCGTGGGAAAAAGATTCTTTTTTTGTCTGAAAGACGCAAAAAGAGCTACTTTTTATTGTATCCCATTTCCGACAAAAAATTTGTCAATATTTTTTCTACGATTTATAGTGTTTACAGTTTTGTAAACTGAAAATAGTGATGAGAACGACGTTCCGAAATTTCTAGAAATAATTGATATAATGATTTTTCTTTAGATCCGAGATGAAATATTTGATCAAAATTTAAAAAAACCAGATGACGATAAACTTTTTTTATTTCATTTATACAGTTTTGCTTTCTTTCCCCACTCGCTATGTTTTGCTATGATCTGGCCGGACTTGAGCAGATCTGACCGGAGAGTGACTGGACTAATCTGACCTGGTGAGATTTGACACAATCTGATCCAACCTGATCTCATTTAAGTTGCCTAGATTAGACCGGACGAGACCAGACGACACCAAACCAGATAGGACCTGATTTGACCTGACCGGACATGATCTGACCTTGTTGAACCTGAGCAGACCTTATCTGACCTGACCTAACTTGTTCGGACTTGAAGGACCTGACCGGAGCTGACCGAAGCTGGCCATGAACACAGAATATGATATCGTGTTAAATAGATTCCTTCAAATTGGACTGAAAAGATATTTGTCCACTAGCAGAAATACTTAATACTTGAACACAGAAAGACATGGATTCCAGTATCTTAGACAATAATCTTCCGATATAATCTGCGCAAAAGTTAAGCGACGAACTGGATAATAATAATAAATTTTATACAGACAATAAATAAAAAATAAAAAGTTGAAAACGTATTGCTTTGAGCTATTATTCCTTTTTCGAAATCTTGTATTTTCCACGAGCTACTTCGCAATCAGTCATTTATAAAAACCAGAAATGCAAGTAATTAAAACGCATTTCCAAAAGAGGATTTATACTGAATCTATTACAAATCCACGGAACGTGCATCACCCGGCTTTTAAATTAAAACGCTCAACTCTTTCATATTCATTCTAGTTTCAAATATTAAACGCATCTAGAAAAACTCATCACGAAATATTAGATCCGCACATTTTACCATTCAGACGAGCTATTAAAAAATTGCCTGCGTGCTTTCAGCAGCCAGCATTAAAGCATTAACCCGGTAAATTAATGATGACATCAGTAATAGCGTAAGCGTTCATCATTCTCGCAATCTCCTTTCACATCTTTTAATACCGCAACGTCAGAT